GTATATATATGTACACAGTATATATGCATATATTTTTTGATACCATAATCTGAAATGTATGTTCTGTGTTTTATGCAGGTGGTCCATTAAAGCTTGTCAACAACTGTGGATGAAGTGGATCTGTAAGTTTTGCAGTTTTGTTAGCTACAATGAAAGAACAATAGTGACTCATTACAAAGACAATCATCGTGGAAGACAGGGACTGAGCTGCATTTACTCAAACTGTCTAACTGTTCTCAAATCTCATGTGGATTTCGCAAAACATATCAAAGAACATAAAAGATCACATCCAGTTGCTAAACTACGCTGTGAACTCTGTAATTTTTCATCACCAACCAACATCAAACAGTATTTTCTTCATTTAAAGAGACATTTAAGAACTCGAGAGACTGTCAATTGTCCATTTGCTGGCTGTTCGTTTAAGTCTAGGGTAATCTCAACTTTCACTGCCCATAAGAGTCGATATCATCATGCTGCTGCATTTGTTGATTTCAAACCGGATCTTGTTGTAAAATGTCACAGTGAAGTTGTTGTAAATGATGAAGACTTTGATGAATTAGTGTCATCAGATTCATTGTTGCCTGAACCTGAAGTTCAAACTGTACAAAATTCCATTCAGCGACGGATAGCATCCCTATTACTTCGCCTGCAAGCAGTCCTTCATGTGTCACAATCAGCAATTCAAGAAATTGTTGATGAGTTATTTGATGTTGGTGAATGTGCCGGACAAATAACTCGGGACAAAATTGAAAATATTTTGAAAGTGCACAATTGCTCATCAGAGGACTTAACAGCATCTTTGACTGAAGCTTTACAGAGTGCAAACCCACTTACTTTACTTTCAAGAGAGGGGCCTTTAGGCACAGAATTTAAAAGACAGTCATTTTATAGACAGAACTTTACTGTCATTGAGCCTGTTGAATACGTTTTGAATAGGCACAAAAAATCTCATACTGTTGTGTATGTCCCGATTCTAACATTACTTTCTGAAATTCTAAAGAGAGATGAGGTACTGAATGAATTGAGATTAAACAGATCTGAACAATCTGGGCAGTACAAGTCATGTCTGGATGGTGACTACTTTAAAAGAAATCAAATTCTCTCACACGAAGATGTTAGTTTGTGCATAACTTTGTACATTGACGATTTTGAAGTTTGTAATCCCATTGGCACCTCTAGAAAAACAAAACACAAACTGTGTGCTTATTTTTGGATTCTTGCCAATTTGCCAAGAAGATACAAATCATCACTGCCGTCAATCGAACTAGCTTTATTGTGCAAGACTGAACATGTCAAGACTTATGGATACAATAATGTTTTAGAGCCACTGATAAAAGATATTCATTGTCTAGAAACAGTTGGTGTGTATGTAGATAAACTTGATTGCAATGTAAAAGGGACCATTTTGTATGTTGCTGCAGACAACTTGGCTGCACACTCCCTAGGTGGATTCCAAGAGTCTTTTAATGTGGAAAAATTTTGTAGGTTTTGTTTGTGTAATCGTGAAGAAATACAGACTTGTGATGTCAGAAGTGGAAAGTTTGTTTTACGTACACCAGCTTTGTATGATGAAGCTGTAAATTTGTTGAACCAGAGTGAACTTGCGTCTGTTGATGGTGTGAAAC